GCTCCGAGCTGACTCAGCCGCCCAGCTGACTCAGCGGCCGGCATGGAACCCTGCCAGCCACAAGGCAGCGCGGGGGCTGCAGGCAACTCACAGATGTTTTGCTAAACTAAAGCAATCAGCCAGGAGGCGGGTCTGGGCTGGCGGCCAGACTGCCGCTGTCGTGGAAGCTGGGACTCTCTGATCCAAGTCCCAGCTCAGCCACTACTGCCTGGTGAACTGAGGAAAAACCCCAGGGCACCTCGGCATCTTCTGCCTGCTTCCGAGCCTGTCCGTGGGGCTACAGCAGAGCATGGCACTCTGCATAAAAGAGCACCCGGAGTATTACTACCTACCGCGCGCTAGCTCGGTCTAACCTCACACCGTCCTTGGGAGGCCCGCTTCGTCATTTTCACTTCACAGATGAAAGACGCAGGCTCAGAGAGACTGAGAGCCCTCCCGAAAGATCACAAGGGTAATAAATGGAAGAGATGGGAATTGAACCCCCACTCTGCCTGCTCTGGCATCCACTGCAAACACTGCTGTGCTAAAACTCTGATCAACTACACAGGGCTCCTTTACACAAAGACGCGGATTTTTCAGGTTCCAAAGGACCTTTCTTAGATGACTTCTCAGTTGCCCTCTGAAAACCGACAGCTCTTCACAACGGATTTCCAAAGAGCACCAGTGGGCCACTGAAGAGCATGTACTTATGGGGAGTACCCAGGTACTACCAGCTTTGTCATGAACTCCCTAAGCATCAATGAGTCACTTAACCTGGAACAACCCATCAGCACTCCCATTCTTTGGGTGAGGAAAAACTCAAGCACTGCGGGTCAGAAAGAGAAGAGTAATTAGAAGCCAAAGGCTTGGTTAAGAACATAGATTCCTTAGGCTCCATCCCAAAATAATTCTTTTAAGACCCTGGAATCTGTATTTTCTAAAGCTCCTGAGAGGACTGTGATGCTCACCCATGTTTGGAAATCACATAAGCTTGCCTTGGCTAAACGGGGAATTTGGAGGTCTACCCTTTCCTGTTTCAAAGGGGGTGGTGTAAGGGTGAAATGAAATCATGTCTGCAATGCTCTTTGTTGGAAAATACACACAATGCAAGCACTTCTTGTCAGCTATACTTAACTGCAAAACAACAAAACTGTCCTTAAAGAGCATGATCCTGGTTTAGCCTGGAGCTAAGGAACAGTCTTAGGCAAGATTGTTGTTTCACTAAAAGAACTGTAATTAGAGTCACACATTACATTTTTAGATATCCCTTACAACACTGTTGCAACCTCATCCTTCCTTTAAAAAAAAAAAAAAGATTGTACTGACATTCTTTCACACCCCACTTGAATCAATCTATATTAGGAGTCACCTGCACACTTCATTGCTGTAATCAAGAAAACAAGTATGAGAAAAAAAAAAAACTCAAGTCTGTTCATGGCTAGGCGGTTGGGTCACGGAGGTGGGGTGAGAAGGCACGGACTGGCAGAGATCCTGGCCCTGACAGGACTCCTCTTGGCCAGCCTTTAGGAAGAACAAATGACCCCCGCACCACGAAGACTGACCTGCTTGAGTTGCTCATCCAGATTCCAGCTCGGCTGCCCAGCTGTGGAGACTGAAGGTGGGGCCTTGGAAATATCTTTGGTATGGTCTTCTTTAGCTTGCTGTCCACGCAGTGGGAGCCCTGGTGCTGGAAGCAGACCAGATCCAGACGTTGCTCTGGGGTCCTGGCGAACCACTTTCTGCACATGAAAATACTTGGATGCGGCCTGGGCCTCTTTCCCAGCCACCTCTGCAACTTCATCATCCCCATCCTCATCTTCCAGACCTCCTTCCTCCTCCTCGGGCTCGGAGTTCACGTTGCTCCGTTCAAAAACTCGGGCCACTGCCACAGCTGGTGGCCCTCTGGCCAAGGGACCCAGGGCGGGGCTGCCAGATGGCCTCCCTGGGGTGGCAGAAAGAAGAGTCTGCTGTGTGACCAGCTTCTGGGCATACAAGAATGGGGCTTCTCTCATCTGTTGTCCCTGCTTCTCTCTGGCGTCCATCTGCAGAGGAGCCAGGCGTGGGGCCTGCTGTGGCGGAGGCTGCCGAGGCTGCTTCTGTTGCGCCAGCGGCTCCATCACGGCCTCAAGCTTCACCCGCCGATGAGCATGGCTCTGAACCTGGGTACAGCCCAGCCGGCACACTCCTTAAGTGATTAACAGAAACCACAAAGAAGGAGAAACAAGGGGGAAAAAATGGTAAAACAGGTATTAAAAGACTTTCCTTTTTCTAGCAAAGGGTGTGAGTTCTGAACACTAGACATACGCTCCAAAGCCTGGGTTCTAAGAGGAGTGGTTGTGGGAGCTGGGGGTGGGGGTGGGGGGGGAGAGTGGTAGGGAACAGTGTGAAGAACGGGATTTAAGAGAGGAAATGCAGGATGAATCTCAGCAGTGGTGGACTGTGGTTTAAAAAAGAAGTAAATCCTGACGGTATCTAGCCTCTGTGTTCTGATCTTTCTCTCTTGACATTATCAAACATTAGCCTTATTTATCCCTGAAAAGGCACTGGGTTTGCACTGTACAAAGGTTGTGAGTATGAGAACCACAATAATGAAGGCAAGAAGGGCCTGCCTACAAAGGAGAGAACGCGGCTTATGTTCCCAGGCCCATCAGAGAAAGAAAGTACCATCCTAGCTAGACACAGAGCTATCAGGCAGACAGAATGATTTCTCGCATACAAAAGCAGAACATAGCAAATTGCTCTTTGGTTTAAACTTTTCAAATTTCCCAGATAGAATTGCCAGCCTGCTTTTCAAGTGGGCTGAGCCACGCTAACTGTACATTACGGCCTCAAAAAGAATCCAATTTCAACAACATGAAAGAAACACGCAAGGAGGCAAGAGTTTCAAATTGCAATGGTCACTCAAAAAACAAACGGGGGAATTCCTCTGGAGATTTTAAAGTTAATTAAATTGAAACAGATATCAATATTATCTAACAAGTTAATGCTTCTTTTTCATAAACGGCCAAGTAAATCTCTTCACATCCCTTTTCCTTCTGATTCACTTCTACTATGATATTCTATGACAAACGCAAACAGAAAAGGCTTTCAGGCCAAAAGTATTCTGGGGGCAGGTTTATCAGCATTCTTACCAATCAATCTCCAAACACATCCCCCTTTCACACCCTCCTCTCCACTCTAGCTCCCCCTTTCCCTTCCTCCTCTCCAGATCTCCACCCCCAACAAACCTCACTTGAGTTATGTTTCCTCAGCACGTCTCCATAACTGAATGGATTACTGTGCACGGGGAAATTTTAGGTGAACAGGACTTGCAAAATGGCGTACAATGTTGTCATCACATGAAAGAAGCTTTACTGCACAGGTTGAGACTTGATATTTGCATTGTTTCACTGTTTTAGAACTAAGTATAAAGATAAAAAAAATACTACATGCCTTCAGCATCTTCAACAATTCATGGGGAAGGAATCACATCCCTAGCAATAAAAACTGCTTGCATTTACTAATCTTTTAAATGGGTAGGGGGAAAAGGTGCAATTTTTTTTTAAAAGCTAGGCAAAAAAGTAAAGATAAAAATTCTCATTGTCTGTTTATCTGAGAAGCACTGCTTTTGCCTTTTGTAATCTGTGAAAGATTCAAATTCCAATTTGCCTCTTACTGCCTTTACTTCCTCTCTTGGCACTTGAGAAAGTGTGATTTAGGCCTGTAGCGCTGCTTTCATTCTGCTTTAGCCCTTTTTATAGTATAACAAAACATGAGAAGATTTACACCCACATTAAATCCAGCTGGCAAAAGTATTCATTTAGGATAAAAACAATTGGCATCAAAAAAAATTAAACCAAAGAATAAAAAGCAAATAATTCGGCGATCAATTTAATTTTCCTTATAATCATTACAGTCAATCAATCACAAGAGGAATCATTTTTCAACTGAGTCCTGCCAGTCTTTGAACAACTGCTTCTTGTCCTGTGGCACCATCTTCTCAGTGTGCTGTCCCCAGCAGAGGGGGAGGTGTCTCACTGCTTCTTTAGTAAGATTGAGATGACTCAGTTCCACAACTCAATACACACACCCTCCCCCAAAGAGCCCATCTACCCCGTCCCTAAGCAGAAAGATCCAAACAACAATGCCACCTGCCTACATTTAGAAAACTTGCGTCTCAGAAATCTAAGCCACTTCATCCCTTCACTCGGCCCCCTCCCCCATTTCCCCTAAAGTTCTCGGACCCCCATGCCCGGTGCAACGGACTGCTTGTAGCTTTGAACCCGGCCTCCCCTACCATTCCCGCTACCTTCGCAGCCGAATCCCTTTGGCCCCGGTCCCCTTGAAGCCCCATACCTCCTTCCCCGGTTACGCCAGCCCCCACTTCTTTATACCCCCCAGTCCAGCCCTATCACTTTTACCTCTACCAAGCCCTCCCAGCCAATCCGCTGGCTCCTCTTCGATCGCCCCAACCCCACCTATCCTCGCCCTCTCAGTTCCCGGGGGCCCTTACTCTTCCCATCTCTTTATCTCAAATCACCCTCAGGGTTGCAAGGCGCTTCGGGTATCCTCCCAGCGCTCTCGCTTTTCCTCCGCAGCCCCCGGACTCTGCTCGCCCGCGCCTTCGCGTCTCCCCCCACACACCTGCCTCCCCTCGCACCCCTCCGGCCCCTCCACCTGCCACAGCCCCCGCTCCCGCGCGACTGAAGGAGCCGGGCCCCACGCGGCTTACCTGTGCAGGGCGCTCCGGGTCCGCCGGCGGTGGTGGCGGCGGCCGCTCAGGCCCCGGCGCAGCAGCTGCGTCTCGGACTCCTCCGCAGCCGGGGGCCACAGCCGGGGCGGGGCCCGCACCGGAAGCGGTGCCGCGGGGCCGGGACCGCGAGCCCGGGGCGGGGCGGGGGCGGGGCCACACTGGACGGGGCGGGGGCTAAGGCCGGAAGCGGCCAAAAAGGGACCGAGGGGCGGGGTCAAGCGGAAGTGACTTCTAGGGACGGCCCCGCCCGACCGAGTCGTTGGCGGAAGCGGACTGACGCTAGCGGAAGTTTCCGCCAATGGGAAAGCGCGGACGCCGCGGCGTTCCGGTGTGAGGACTTCCGCGCGGAGTTGAAAAGAGCCAGTGTGAGCAGCACGGGAGTTCTGACCCGCTCCGTTTCCGACCTGGGCCGGTTCACCCCGTCTTAGGCAACCTGGTGGTCCCCCGCTCCCGGGAGGTCACCATATTGATGCCGAACTTAGTGCGGACACCCGATCGGCATAGCGCATTACAGCCCAGAACTCTCCGTCTGCGTTCACTCTTCTCTGCCTGTTTTCTAGTTGCGGAGGTTGGTGTGGCGCGGCGTCAGGTTGGGAGGAAGGTAAATAAAGGACGGGGGGTGTCCGTGTTTTCTTCTGCGTGGGTCCCCTCCCCAACTCACTGCTATCAAATCGATCTTCCCCTGAGATTCCCGCCCCCAGATCAGTTTTCTCTCAACTTCTCCGACTGAGACCTGGCTGTCCCCCGAGGATACGTCATCCCCTGGAGAATTAGTGTTCTCACTTCCCAGGTTCAGAAGGTCGGGGAGCTAGCTATGTGCCGAATACTGTCACCTCTTGTAAAAACCCTTGCTTCTCCGACGCTTACTGTTAAGACTTTGCCACCTGTTTAACCGCCTCTTAGAGATCATCTGTTTATTGGTGCATCCAGCTTTTTGTCTTACTTTTCTCTCCTCTGTCTTCCATCTTGATAATTTCAGTCAGACTGCCGGGTTACCGTACGGGCCTCACCTCTAGCGACCCTTACATCAGCCTCCCAATCCTAATAAAAAACCTGGACCCTCTTACCAGAAACGTTATAGCGTCACAAATTAGTAATTGGAACATCCTTCTGTCCAGTTACAGCCTGATGTCCTTTCAGCTTGACTGCTCAAGAACTTAACTTTTTTCACTTTATCAGTTCCTCTAATCCGTTGAAAGCCCCCATTAGTTCACATTCTTCACGTCCCCTCTTAATACATCTTAGATAAAACGGTATTCCATTACAGTCCTACTCTTACCTCCTAAGCCTGCCCGCCACTCTCTTTTCCCCACCTACGTCTCCCACCCTAGATGGACCAACATGCTTCTCCGTGCCTGTATCTTGTTGTAAAAAATTGTCCTGCTGAACAGACTGGCATCACTAAGTTATTAAATTTCAACCTTAAATGGGCTCTGAACAATGCCTGGGAACTTCATTTTATTTTTCTAGTTAACTTGCTTTCCACTATCTGCAAATCTTTAGCCCTACACTTCCCATACACCTTCCCCTGATTATCTTACTGTATAAGTAACAGGAAGTGCAGAATGCCCTATACCCCCAAAATGCAGAAACACTAAATAAAAGGAATACATGCACCCCTATGTTTATTGCAGCATTATTTATAATAGCTAGATTATTATAAAAATAGCCTGAGTGTCCATCAGTAGAGAATGGATAAAGAAGATGTGGTATATACACAATGGAATATTATTTAGCTATAAAAAAGAATGAAATCTTGCCATTTGCAACAATGTGGATGGAACTAGAGAGTATAATGCTAAGTGAAATAAGTCAGGCAAAGAAAGACAAATACCATATGATTTCACTCATATGTGGAACTTAAGAAACAAACAATGGGTGCCTGGGTGGCTCAGTCAGTTAAACATCTGCCTTCGGCTCAGCTCATGATCCCAGTGTCCTGGGGTCAAGCCTCCCTGCTCAGCGGGGAGCCTGCTTCTCCCTCTCCAGCTCCCCCTGCTTGTGTTCCCTCTCTCGCTGTCTCTCTTTGTCAAATAAATAAATAAAATCTTAAAAAAAAAACACAAAAGTAATGTGGGGGGAGGAGAAACCAAGAAACAGACCCTGAACTATAGAGAACAAACTGATGGTTTCCAGAGGGATGGTGGGTGGGGAGATGGGTGATACAAATGATAGGGATGAAGGAGTGCACTTAAGCCCTGGGTGATGTATGGAATTACAGAATCACTATATTGTACACCCAAAACTAATACAACACTATATGATAACTATACTGAAATGAAATGAAATAAATGTAGAATGTCCTAAAATCTAGAAATCGACATGTGTTTCCATTCTGTTTTTTCCCTTATTAAATAAAAAATATTCATTGAACTCACACTATATGCCAAGCAAGGCACCCATTTACGTGCTTGTTAAGCAGTGAACAAAAAAAGTCCTCATCCTAAAAGATTTTTCTAGTATTGAGAGACAGAAAAACAAAATATGTGTGCTTTGATAAAGAACAAAGCAGAATAAGGATTAGACAGTGGTGTCAGGTAGCTGCTATTTTAGGTGTTAGAGAGGGACTGATAAGCAGAAACTGGAATTGATTTGATGCGCTGAGCCACGTGGATATCTAGGAAAGGAGTATTCCAGACAGAGGAGACAGCGGATTCAAATGCTCTGAGGCAGGAGCATGCTTGGCTTGCTAACGGAATAGCAGGGAGACCCCTAGAGCTGATATAGAGTGAGTGAGGGGGATGGTGGCAGGAAAAGAGATCAGAGAGGTAGTCAGGGGCCCAATCATGTGGATCTTTTAGGCCATGGTGACAACTATGGATTGTTAACACTGAAACCACTGGAGAGTTTTGAGCAGAAGAATGGCCTGATCAGATTTAAGTCTCTAAAAGGCTCATTCTAGCTGTTGTGTAGAGAACAGACTGAAGGTGGAGGGGTAAGAGTAGAAGCACTTGGCCTGGCAAAAGATGATGGTGGCCTGAACAAGATGACAGCAGTGCAGGTAGTAAGAAGTGGTCAGATTCCAGGTCTATTCTGAAAGTAAAGCCACCAGGATTTACTGATGGATTGGATGTGTAGGTTGAAGAAGAGAGTTGAGTCAAGGATGAAGCCAAGGTTTCTGGCCCGAGTCACGGGTAGAATAGTGAAACCATTTACTGACCTGGGGAATGCTATCAGAAGCTGACCCCAATGGGATACTACTTAGCAGTATAAAAGAATGAAATACTGATATACCCAACAACTTGACATCATAACAACATAACAATAAACGCATTACACTGAATGAAAGAAGCTAGTCTCAAAGTGACACTCTTGAAAAGATGAACACTGTAGTGATGGAGAATAAGTTAGTGGTTGCCAGGAGTTAGGGGTGGAGGAGTGACTATAAAGGGATAGCAAAAAGGAAGGTTTGGGGAGATGGGACTCTTCTGTATCCCAACTGTGGTGGTAGTTACATGAATCTATGCATATGTTGAAATCTATAGAACTGTAAACAAAAATATAATTTTATTGTATGATAATTTTTTGTAAGCCAACCATTTCATGCATGCTTGAGTTTCCCTTCCCAATTCCCAGGGCTCTCCTTCTAGCCTCTTGCAATACTGGATCCTTCCATCAGTATTCTATCAAGCTCTAGTTTCAACTATCTTTTCCTTAAAAAGCAAAAAACAAAACAAAAACAACAACAATAACAACAACAAAATCTTTCCCTTAACCGCTTGTTCTACGACTAAAGGCTTATCTCACTATTCCCCTTCCTGAAAAAGTTTCTGGAATTACTATCCTCACTGCAGCCCAAGTGATCTTATCTCTCTTTAAAATGCTCTATGGCTTCCCATTGCTCTTGGGATGAAGACTGAAATTCCTTTATGTGGCCCTCAGAGCCTCTGCCTTCTTTGGTTTTATCTCTTTCCCTCAGGTGCAGTAGCAGACCCAAGATGGCAGCCTTACTAGATGACCTCAGTAGTTAAACAGAAAAGTCTCCCCCCACCCCCATGGAAATATGTTTAAACCCTGAGATAAATCACCCATTCTGGTTATAAGGAATATTATTCAATCTATTTTGGCTTCCAAGATATAGTAGATTGAACAGAATAGCCTTGGTATTTTCCAGCTTCTCCCCACAAGAGGTGTAGTCTCTCTCTCAATCTAGGCTTGGCTGTGTGACTTGCTTTGTTCCATGGACATTAGCAAATCTGATACATGGAGATTCTTAAAAAAGTGCATACAAATTGTGGCTTGCTCTCTCTTGCTGCTGGGAACTCTTCCACGACCTTGTGAAAAGCTCATAGCTGACCTGATGGGTGAGGCGAGACCTCATCTGACATCTAACCAATTGCCAAACATATGAGTGTGGCCCCTTAGACCAACTAGCTTGCCAACCCCCAGACAGTGAGCCAGGCCATTGTAGACTAAGTCCAGGTGTGCCGGCCCAGACCAAAAGAAACCCCCAGTGAACCCACAGACCAGTGAAAAATAATGTTTATTGTTTTTAAGTTAAAGGAATAAATTTTGAGATGGTTTTGGGCGCCTGGGTGGCTCAATTGATTAAGCGACTGCCTTCGGCCCAGGTCATGATCTTGGAGTCCCAGGATCGAGTCCTGCATCCGGCTCCCTCTCAGCAGGGAGCCTGCTTCTCCCTCTGACCCTCCCTCCTCTCATGCTCTCTCTCTCTCTCTCATTCTCGCTCTCAAATAAATAAAATCTTTTTTTTTAAAGATTTTATTTATTTATTTATTTATTTATTTAAAGATTTTATTTATTTGAGAGCGAGAATGAGAGACAGCATGAGAGGGAGGAGGGTCAGAGGGAGAAGCAGGCTCCCTGCCAAGCAGGGAGCCCAATGCGGGACTCGATCCAGGGACTCCAGGATCATGACCTGAGCCGAAGGCAGTCGCTTAACCAACTGAGCCACCCAGGCGCCCTCAAATAAATAAAATCTTAAAAAAATTTTTTTTGAGTTTTTTGTTTGTTTGTTTTTTGTTTTGAAATAAAAAATAAGGATATCCGGGGCATTTCTTTGCATCTATTAGGCTGGATTTAGTTGGATGTATTTCTTGGAGCTGCTTAGCACCTAAAGAAGAGAGCCACCATGCATCCCCTTCACATGGTTAGTCTATGTTACCTTATGTTTTCCCATCTGATTTCTCACTGTTTTGCTTATTTACAGCAGGGGTAATCTTACATGTCATATCTATTGTATTTCTTTTTTTTTTCTTCAAGATTTTATTTATTTATTTGACAGAGAGAGACACAGCGAGGGAGGGAACACAAGCATGGGGAGAGGGAGAAGCAGGCTTCCTGCTGAGCAGGGAGCCCGATGCGGGGCTCCATCCCAGGACCCTAGGACCATGACCTGAGCTGAAGGCAGATGCTTAACGACTGAGCCACCCAGGCGCCCCATGTCTATTGTATTTCAACTTGTTCGGTAAAACTAATATCATTTGCGTGGTTTTCACTGATTTTATTGCTCTTTTTTAAGAACTAAAGGTTGAATTGTATAAGTATTGGGTATCATTTGTATGTGTGTTTTGTTATAAATTTAATCTTAAATGTACAGGGCGTAAAAGCTAAGAAACAGGGAAATGGTCATATTATAGAATAATAATGTAATTAGTCATAACTAGTAAAGGGAAAGATGGCTTCCATTTGTGTTCATGATAGCCAATATTAATTGTTAATGTAATTGGGTCTGTCTTAATGAGATTTAGCACTTTAGCACGAATGGGTCAGTTTGGGGACTCAAGAAACAAAATGTTTTCTCATTGACATTACTGGTGATTACACTTTCAGCTTGCATTGGCTCCACAAGAGGTTTTGCAGGATTAACTACCCTAGTAAGGCAGGAGAGGACTGTCCTGCAGTTACTGTACCTTTAATGCCATGGAAAATTAAAATGTAACCAGATGATTAAGGTTTCCTCTTGTCCTGAGATCAAGGTATAGCCTCAGGAACCTCTATGAGTGTGTGTAAAGCCTCTGCTGAGTAAATGTTATGAACGTGTGTAGAGAAAGAGTGTGACCGTCCAATGGGGTATGAGAGGTGGTGGATCAAGTCCACAGATTCCTGAGGGGACCTCGTCACAGAGGTGGAGGCACCAGTAATGTTGTCTGCAGCCTGATTGGGCTTTCATTGTGCAGTGTGTTTTCCCACAGAGCGGGGAGGGGATGCCCATCAGGCTGACTCTTCAGTCCTTTCTTTTACTGAACTGTTCATATTTTGAATCAGACAGTTGTTATTTGATGTCTGATGACTTGGGTTACCTGATGTGTGAGCTTCCACAAGCTAGTCAACCCTGGAAAACTGTCAGCACCCAATTACTGAGACCCAAAGCTGAACTTTGAGAACAGCTTCAAAGTAACAAGGACTCCTGGCAGCGGGCAGCCAGCCTTTTGCAGGTAGCTGCTCTCTTGCCATATTCCCTTTCGACCTACTTTCACTGCAAACCTGTGGCTCTGGGATTGGCCAACATACTGATGAACGGCCTTAACCATATTGTTCTTCCCCTCACTGAGGAATAGAACAAGTCAGACCTCTAAAGCAATTAAAAAGGGACTCACCGATCCCAAAGTGACTCACCTTTGAAAACATTGGATTGTCTCAATCTCCCTGATACTTAACTGAAAGCTGTCTTTGCAAACTCCATCCAGATTTCTTTGGTGGCTCGAGCACTCAGCTGTCCTGCAGACTGGCAGAGCAAAAGGCAGCAGTTCAAGCCATCTGTCCCAGAACGAGACATCTGGTCACAGGTCTGTGCCTCTGGTCGGGGCTTTTTGGAAGTCATCTGGCTCCCCATCCAACGGAGCTGTGATAAACCAGAGGCTGTCAAGTGCTGGTGAGTCTAAGAGGAGAGGATGCCTAAGCTGAAGCTGGCCTGGCAGTGAGCTTGGTCGGCTGGGAGAATCATGGTGCCAACCAATTGCTGTAAATGTGTCCACAGACACCTACACGTGCCTAGGGGTTTTACATCCATCAAAAAATCTTTATTTCCAGGTACCATCACTGAATGTTGAATTATCAAGAACAGTAATATGCTTTTTCTATTGTTAAGGTTGGCCAGGATTCTTGTCCTCTCTGAATTAAAAAAAAAAAAAATCTGTCAGTTTCAGGAGAAAAAGTATAGAGAATTTATGGTGGTATTTTGGAAACGTGGGCTTAGAGGATGCAAGGTATCCTAGGGAAACTTCAGTGAAAAAGAAGCTTCCCAAATATGGGGTGGAGAAAAGGAGTTTCTCAAATGTAGGGTGGGGAGCACTTGCTTTTGTGAGGCGTGAGGTGTTTGGGTCCCTGGCTCATCATGTCTTTATTGCCTCCATAAAGCACATGACACAGCCATGTTCCCGTTGCCAGCTTACTGCTATTTTATCCCTCATCCTTAGCTAAAGAAACCTGAGTATAGTATAGCGGGAATTCCTGGTATTTTATTAAGGTGAAATATATGAAATGCCAGAGAGGCTGAAAGGGTTGTCTGTACCCCATGGCTTCATTTACTACTTTATAGCAAGAGCACATGTTGAGTGCTTTCATTAAAACCAATGTTTTTTTTTTTTTTTTTTAGATTTTATTTGTTTATTTGACAGAGACACAGCAAGAGAGGGAACACAAGCAGGGCGAGTGGGAGAGGGAGAAGCCGGCTTCCTGCAGAGCAGGGAGCCCGATGTGGGCCTTGATCCCACGACCCTGAGATCATGACCTGTGCCAAAGGCAGAAGCTTAACGACTAAGCCACCCAGGCGCCCCGATTCAAACCAGTCTTAACATAGGATTTCCACCTGCTGCAATTTCAGGGAATAACAGATAACCTCATTTGGGAATCTGATTCAGAAACTTCAACTTTAAAAACTGAGCTGAGGGGGCCCTTGGGTGGCTCAGACGGTTAAGCATCTGTCTTCGGCTCAGGTCATGATCTCAGGGTCCCGGGATCAAGCCCCACGTAGGGCTCCCTGCTCAGCAGGGGATCTGCTTCTCCCTCTCCCTCTGCCCCTCCCCCTGCTTGTGCTCTCTCTCTCTCTCCCTGTCAAATAAATAAAATATTTTTTGAAAAATAAATTTATTTATTTGAGAGAGAGAGAGAGAGAGAGAGGACAAGCAGGGGGAGGGGCAGAGGGAGAGGGAGAAGCAGGCTCCCCGCTGAGCAAGGAGCCCGATGCGGGACTCGATCCCAAGACCTTGAGATCGGGACCTGAGCCGAAGGCAGACGCTTAACCGTCTGAGCCACCCAGGCATCCCTAAATAAAATCTTAAAAAAATAAAAAATAAAAAACTGAGCTGGGGGTGTACCTGGGTGGCTCAATTGGTTAAGCATCTGACTCTTGATTTCAGCTTAGGGCTTGATCTCAGGGTCGTGAGTTCATTAAAAAACAAACAAGTAAACAAAAAAACCCAACTGAGCTAGGTTTTCAGGCTCTCCAATTGAAGTGAAAGTTTGATTTTACAAATCTTATAAGTGCATTGAGATTATGCTGGAAGAGAATAGAGTGGTTCTAAAGCTAACTGATCTAATCATAATATCCTCCTGACCAATTCCCTTCCATGTCACCCCCACCCCCCCGAAAGCAAAATACTGAGCTTAACTGTGTGGTCATCAAGCAACCAGTCATTTCCTAATATGGACAGTTCAGCCCTCCAGTTTCACTTCTGGAATTCAAGTGCTAGGAGAATGGCATTTACATTTGCATGTGTTTTCTACAATTCTTTCTCACTTCCCAAAGCAATGAAGCCTCTGTGTTGTTTGCTTTAACATCAATGATAATATCGACAATGACTGAATTTCCTGGACCTGTAATATAGGATCAGCCCTGACCCAATACCTTAATATTTTGATAGAAAACTCATATGAACAGTTACAAGTATGAGGGCTTTGTCCTTATTAAAAATGAGTAGTTACCCCCAAAATGGGTATAGCCATTAAAAACAATGAAGTCCATAATTTCTACTGACATGGGAAGATGCCAGTGGTAGAATTTAAAAAGAAACTACCAAGTTGCAGAAAACTATGTAAAGTAAAATCATTTCGAAAAAGAAAAAAACTTGAATGATTTAATCTTTTGAAAAACAATTCCCACCTTAAGAATAAAGATACTTATAATGCATGCCCTAACCTCAGAGTCAAGTCCAACTTTTGCTTTCTTTGGTCATTAGAAAAAAAATGCTATATTAAGGAAAAATCTACAGTACTTCTTAACTGATAGTTACTGTGAGGATTAAATGAGAAGGTAGGTGAAGCATTTAGCGCACAATAACTCCCATTTTACAGGTGAGATAACATGCTTAGAAGAGTTAAGTAACTTGCCCAAGGTTAAGTTACATGTTATAGGGAGCAGGGCTGAGATTTGATCCCAGGGCTGTCTGACTGTAATTCATGCTGGTAACCACCATGCCATATTCCTCCCAGCAGTGTCAATCAATATTTGACTTGTAACCATTTGAGTTTATTTTTCAATATACAATTTATCATAGTGTGCCACGGAGAATCAGTAATGTCACATATTAGCTTTGCAATTTGGCTAAAAGAAGCTAAGTAAAGTCCTCTTTGGGGACTATACGGCCCTAACAGCCTGCTTCCCGATGGTGCAAGTCTGGAGATCCAAGTGTTGTTTTATGGCTTTACTTATTTATTCAGGCCAGGCTTGTGAGGTTATGGCAATACAGTTCCCTCAGAAACTTCAGGTCAACTTGCTTCTAAGCAGCTTCTTGTGCCAGAAATCATGCCTAAAAGATTTTTTTCAGGATAGACGTATCAACTTTCATTTATTTCTTTACTCCATGCCTCTCTCTCCCGGCTTAAGGGCAGTTGCAGGGAAGCCATATGAATCAAAGGTGTAGGTGGAAGGAAAGCCTCGAGACTGTTCTTTGCACTAGTGCTGGAGTCCTCTGTTTAACTGAAATATCTTCGTGGATAACCTTTTCAGTCTTTTATCCTGCTGTTGGGGCACAAGACCCCACTTCTGTGCTCCCTCGATTCCTTTTCCTAGCCACGTGCAAACCAGGACGTTCTTGCCTGAGCTTACCTCTTACGGTATCTTGTTAAACACAGCAAGGAGCTACCAATATACTCTGACATTCTGACTCATGGTCTGACTTCAGCAAATCATGGAAAGAAAGAGAACGTTTTTTTCTTTTTATCTCCTCAAGTGTCCCTATTAAAAACGGGCACCAAATAAGCGAGTTTCTTGATTTCTTGGGAATTACTGTCATGAAGTGGAGGCCCACACTAAAAAAAAATTAGAGGAAACACTTTTGCAGATCATTATGCTAATAAGCTGCTCTATCTGAAGTCTTTAAACACAGTGATTTCTTTTAAAAACTGAATGATGAGCCTACAGAGAGGTTCAAGAATGCCATCATATAGGCACAAGATTGGTTGCAAGATCCAGAAAGACAGCCTCCATAGCACCAGAAAACTTCAAATGGACACTGGACACCACAGAAGGGACAAGTTGGCCATGATATTAAAGATTGATGGGGAAACTTTTCTGAGACAGCAGAAGACATGGTCAATGCATGCCTTACCCGTGAACAAGGTAACCCAGGAAACCTTATAAAAGTGGGACATATATTAGAATCACGTCCTAGGAGACGGTTGGAATATATCCAGAGACCTCACACAATTATCTCCCTATATGAGTCATGAGTATTTATGGTAATAGTGTGTTTCTTTTCCGGATGAGTTGAAGCATCCCCCTGTCAAAAAGTCACAGCACCCACAGTGGCTAAGAAACTACTGGACTTTGCATTCCCTCCATAGGATATTCCAACTTAGCATCTCATGATAAAGGAACATATTTTACTGGGGCAATTATTCTCGAGCTGTGTGAAGTATTGCCTCTCATGTAGAAGACTCATTGCCCTTATCACTCTCAGTCACTGTGAAAAGTGGAGAGAACAAAAGAAATATTGATACTTTAATTAGCTAAATTAGTGGACACCACTTGAGTTCCCACGGCCTTAAGTACTGTCCTTGGTGCTTAAGACTCCGTGTTCTTGGGGCGCCTGTGTGGCCCAGTCAGTTAGGCGTCTGCCTTGGGCTCAAGTCATGATCCCAGGGATCCTGGGACCAAGCCCCACATCGGGCTCCCTGCTCAGCGGGGAGTCTGCTTCTCCCTCTGCTGCTTGTGCGCAATTTCTCTCTCTCAGTCAAATAAATAAATAAAATCTTAAAAAAAAAAAAAAGACTCCTGTGTTCTTCCCATTCAGGAACTCACAGATTGTCTCCCCATGAATTTGTCACTGGCAGGCAGGCCCATATAACTATGAATCTCTCCACCTATACTGGATTCTAACCTCTTATAGGCAGAGCTGGCCGCATGTCACAAAGGATTAACCCAATCTCCCCAGTCTAAACAGTAACAAGCACAGGCCACGTTCCCTCGCCAGCCACCTAACCAGCTTCTTTTTCCACTCTAGGTGTTCAAGAATATATAATTAAAAAGTTATTTGGTAGTAATGTCAGACTTACAGAAAAGCTGCAAAATTAGTACCAAGAATTCCCATATACCCTGCCCCGGACTCTGCAAATGTTGACATTTTACCACATTTGCTTCATCATTCTTTCTCTCTCTGTATCCGTGTTATTATATTCTTTTTTCTTTTTTTAAAGATTTTATTTATTTATTTGACAGAGAGAGACACAGCGAGAGAGGGAACATAAGCAGGGGGAGTGGGAGAGGGAGAAGCAGGCTTCCTGCCGATCAGGGAGCCCGATGTGGGACTCGATCCCAGAATCCTGGGATCATGACCTGAGCCGAAGGCAGACGCTTAATGACTGAGCCACCCAGGCGCCCCACATGTTATTATATTCTATGAACCATTTGAGAGTAGTTTATAGACACAACAT